AGAACAACATGAAGCCTCAGAAGAGAGCCTACATAGAGCTAAAAAACAGAGCTGATGCCTCGCTGACCTGCAAACCATATTTTTTCACACACGCCACAACAGTCCCCTCTCAAGCAAAAAGGGTACTACTGGAGTACCTAGTTGTATTCGTCCCATGCTAAAACCCTAAGTCCTAAACCCTAAACCTAGGCACTGTATGAGCCATTGTCTAAACTCCTAGTATCCCCCTTAATAACCCCTATAGTAGTCCCATATATAATCCCCTATAAAGCCCCTTTAAGGAGTTTAGAGCTAAAACCCTATACCTAAGCCCTAAACCCTAAACCCTAAACCTAGGCGCTGTATGGCTTCGTTTTCTATTCTGCTGCCAAGGCATGCCGCCGCAGAGTTCGCAACGCTGGTGCGAGTTCGTTGCAATAGTGCATGAACCTGAGTTGAGGGTTTAGGGTTTTAGGGTTCAAGGGTTTAGGGTGTTAGGGTTCAAGGGTTTAGGGATTTGGGGGGTTGCGAGTAAAACTGTAGGCTACTTCTTAGACTCTCCAACTTCTTTGCAAAACCTTGAGGGCGCAACTTGGTGCAAACACCTGTGGAAGTGTAAACCAATAAACCCTAAACCCTATATAGCCCCTTTATAGTAGTTTCCATTTTCTTTCCATTATTACAATATAACCCCAACACTAAGCCCTAAACCCTATCTAGCGCCATCATAGCAGTGGCCACTTTCTTCTCCATTATCCCCATATTATCTCTATAGAACCCTATACAAGATAGTATTTTCCATTTTCTTTGCCATTCTCCCCAAATTACTCCTGGAACCCTATATTGTAATGTAGTAGTTTCCATTTTCTTTTCCATGATCCCAATATAGCAAAACCATAGCGGGGATCAGGCCTTCAGGATGTGTTTGGGTTTCAAGCCCTCAGGGTTCCTGTACAAATCGGTTCAATTTCTCTAGGATTTGGGGTAGTTTTATGATATGAATACAACAGGATTAAAAGTAATGATGTTGGCAACGGTATGAAGCTTCTACACATGCATTTGCAAATATATGTATGCATATCTGTGTTTATTTGCGTTGATTGCTTGAACGTGTATGTATGTGTCTGAGCTACCCACCCACATGTTCCTGGTTTTTCTATTGTAGCCTGTGCAGATGCATTTCTGGATTCTGTTTAGCTCAACTCTCGCTGTATTAGGTAGCAGCGGTGTCACACTGCCCATAATCCCTTCCCCCCTAATATTAAACCCGCGCCCGTAATATAGAATACAGGTTCCCCAGACTTCCAGATTCGGAAATCTGCCCTCAAGACTACTTTTGAAAGGGCCAAAGTAAAAGCTAATTACGGCTCGGATGCTTTGAGTTAGGGAGGGTCCTAGCCCGACACTAAAGGGTTAGGGATCTCCTTGATTTCCTAGATTCAAATAAACTCTGAATGCACTTTGAACTGGGTTTACTACGATTCTACATCGTTTTAAATACTATACTAATTGGACTGTATTTGAATTTCAATGGATTTTAACCAGTCCTGATTAACTTTAATTCAATCTTAATGGGCTTGATTATGCTTTAAACTGGTTTTGAACGGTTTTGTATAGATTCTAATTAAATCGGCTTTTTAACTTAATTCTGACTGATTTTTACAACGATTTTATAACGACTTTAACTGGCTTTGCTTGGCTTCTTATTCGATTTAATCGACGTTTCTTCAATTTTAGTGTGATTTCAATAGGATCCGATTATGTACCACCCCGTAATGTGGGTCGTACGATAAATCCCCCCCCCCGTTATACTAAATACGGTTTGGAATATATACTTTGGGGGGGAGGCCTTTAATATCAGGCGGAAAGGATTATGCCAGATAGATTTCTTGTTTGGGATGGATCATTGAGCAGAATTCGCTTTAAGAATGAACGCTTGCCAGAGCTACTCATAGTAGGGATCCCTAGCAACAATGCCCCAGAAATCTGCAATTTGCATTCGTGATAACTCTTCTCAACAAGCGTCCCTACCCACACTGGAATTCATAAACTAGGCTTTCTACGCAGATGGAAGAACCGGAGGTGCCTGTAAGCTTCGTTAACAACCTCCAAACGGGTAGCCAAACAAGCGCTCACATCAACCTTCTACACGCTAAAACCATTAAACAAACATGAATAAACCCTACGCCCGAAAACCCTGAACCCCTAAACCCTTGAACCGTTAGCCCTAATCCCCAAACCCGTAAACCCGTAAGCCCTAAACCACACATCCTTAGCTCAGCCAAAGAGCTGCAGCAGCACCGCCGCGCTCGGACCGCTGCCGTCTGCAATGCGGACGGATGCCTGGCGGCTACAACCCAATAGCTAGTTCAATGAGTTTGGGGTTACGGGGTTTAGGGGTGTAGGGCTTTCGGGCTTAGGGCTTCAGGGTTGGGGCTTAGGGTTTGGGGTTTAGGAAGTTAAGGCACCAGGGTTGGTTTTTAGGGCGTAGGGCCGAGGATTTAGGGTTTGGGCTGCCGGGTATGTTTTGGGTTGCGGGATGAAGGCTGCCTCGGGTCCCCCGCTACGATTGCAAATGCGGCATTGCCACTGCGAAGGAATTGGCGATGATCATCGCTTGCATTGCCCTTTCGCTCTCTGCAGCAAGCACAAGCACATGACCCGAAGCCCTGAATGGAGTTCCCCTGAGGATTCTGACTTTGAGCTCCCCAAAAAACATGTATGAAACATCGATGCTACGGGATTAAATTCATTGCTATTGCTACCAGTACATCATGCCGTGGACTGAGGGCCTCCCCTTCTCCGTGGAAACCACTTGAGTTTGGAATGTCCATGGATAGTTAGAAGTAAGTTGTGGGGCTATGATAAAAATAGCTGCAAGAATAACCCAACCTGGAGAACTTACAGCCCACGTATAAGTATACATGAACCTGCAAGTAGGCACCTCAGTAAGGCCGTGCAGAGCATTGGTCATTCGCGGGAGGAGGGGCACCCATGATCTTTACGGTTGCATTCTACAATGTCCGCTGTGTATCTAGGCCTTGAATCAGTGCGGATTTGACCGCTATCATGAACACGTGACCACAAGCTATCTCCGTGTGCCGTGAACCGGCCCATTCAGAACTAAATCTGATTGTCGCATTCCCACAAAGACATGGCACATGCTTGCGGAAGCTCGGCAGGACAATCAGTTGCGTTCACCACGAACAAGAATTAACAGTCTACTTTGTATGCGTACGGCTCACAATTTAACATCTGCTAGAGACCACAGGGTTGCTGTTAAAGAACCTAAATTGAGTTATTATTATGAGGAAACCATATTATTTACCAAATGCCCATATTGTGGTAACTTAATCTAAATTCCTTAACAGCAGCCCAGACTATGCAATTTCCATTTTACAACATATTCCAGAGGAGAGCGGCAAGTTGAGAACACCTCAGGGAGACCCCATGTGACTGTTCGACTAAGCCCTCATCACCACCCCCTGAACCGAATCTCTAAACTCCACCCCCCTTGGCCCCAAGCCCGAACCCCCCAAGCCTCCCCTGACCCCAAACCCGAATCCCTAAACTCCTCTGAAAACTGAGCCCAAACGCCCTCTTGACTCCAAACCCAAGTCCCTAAACTCCCTTCGCCCTAAACCCAAATGCTTGAACCTCCATTGGCCCCAAATCCCTAATCCCTAAACCCAAATCGCCTAAATACCCTAAATCCCTAAGCCCTAAGCTTCGGAGCCGTGGCACCATAGTCAAGCCCAGGTCAGCGCAAGCGGCACTTGCGCGCTGCCGCGAGGTGGGGGAGAGAGCCTTGGGATGTTGATGTACTGTATTAAACCTTAGAGTTTAGATTTTAGGCCTAAGCGTTTAGGTTTTAGGCTTTAGGGTTTAGAGGCTTGGCGTGGGTTCAGAGTTTGGGGTTTGGGGATTAGGATTTGGATAGGGTGGGTCTCCCGGAACTCTCTGCATGGGCCCAGACGCTGTACACAAAAGCTCGGTTTCTAGCTGGCATGTGCGGAGGCTGCACGCAAGGCTGCGATCTCAAGGACAAATGAGGCTGTCCCATGCGAAAAGCCTCATTTAATGCAGAAACAGATTCCTTTGTCTGCGTCATTTCATGCCCAAAAAAATTTCAGGGCGCCAAAATGCCAGAGTGCCATCCCCACCAAAACTGTAAAGATGCTTTTGGGTGAGAGCAAGATGTCCAGGGAACATGTGAGCTATAGTCTAGGACCCCCTGTTTAGGGTTTTAGGGTTTAGGGTTTAGGGTTTAGGGGATTTCCCAAAATTAGGGGCACCTACTATAATGGAGAATCAAATGGAAAAGAAAATGGAAAATGAAATGGAAACTGCTACATATAGGGTTATGTAGGGGATTATAGAAGTTATAGTCTAAACTCCTAGTATTCCCCCTTAAGAAGCCCTATGGTAGTCCCCTATATAATCCCCTTTAAGGAGTTTAGATTATGGCTCATGTGAGCAGGCTCCATGTGAGAGCTCAGATTTCGATGGAGACGCCAAGCTTCCAGGTAGTTTAGGGTTCAGGGTTCAGGGTTTAGGGTTTAGGGTGGTTTTTGCCAACCCGCAAGATTTTGGCCAAGATGTGAGGACACTCCACGTGAAAGCAAGCTATGCACTTTCAATTGACAGTAACCATGACTACGATGGGTAATAGGAGAAAAAGACCCTTACCGAAGGGTCCTTTTAAAGGGCTTGTATAGGAATTGAATAGGATGTAGGGATACTATCCAAGTCATGGAGAATCACGCGGAACATCACATGCAACAAATGAAATGGAAACCAAGGTTTTACAGGGGTTACATAGGGATTAAAAAAGCCTATAAGAAATACCGCCAATGCAGTACGAGTACAAGTAAGTGATCTGCGGAGTATTTACAAGACGGGTGGGGCACAGAGGTGTTGTATTAGGGAAAGGGATTTTTAGGTTGCGGGTAACCCTCATCCTAGACGTTAGGCCTTGACATTCTGGGTTGTGCTGAGGTTCAGGGTTTGAGGCTTGGGATTTAGGGGTTTAGGTGGGAGCCTGCAAGTTTGAAGCTCAGAATGAGGGTTTGGGGTTTAGGGGCTTCGGGTTAGCGTTTAGGGGTTTAGTGTGTAGTGAGCAGGGGCACAAGAATGGTTCGGAGACGACAACAGGTCACAGCCATCGCCCCCGGTAAACCTTTCCTTCATCTGCTTCTGAATAATGAGACCCAAAATCAGAGACCCCTAAACCCCTAAACCCCTGTCAGCAGGCTTACCCGGAGTCTGAGGGTACACAAAGACCCCAAAGCTGCACCATGCGTGCGCAAAAAACATCTCCCCAAAACGCTTCCGAAGGCAGATAATCTTGGTAAAGACCTGGGTGAAAATAACTTAGGGACGCCGAGAAACAACAATGGCAAAGTCATCAAACCAATCTGAGCTCCTTAAATGAAGTTATATGAGGCATGATACAAGGGAGCATTATAAGGGATACTAAAAGGAATACTATGAGTTTAGACTATAGCTCATATGGAAGAAACAAGGGTAATCGAATTGAACACTCCTTTTCGTACTACACTACTACTTGGCACCTTGGACCTCTAGTAAGGTTTAACCCTTAGGTACCTATGATAGGAATATAAGGGAATCCGAAAGGGTTTCATAGGAATATAAGGGAATCCCAAAGGGTTTCATAGGAATATAAGGGAATCCCAAAGGGTTTCATAGGAATATAAGGGAATCCCAAAGGGTTGAGGGTCTAAGGTCCCAAGCTAAGTCCCAAGGAGGCTAGGAGTGTCCATTGATTGCTGCAAAGTTGCCACTAACAGAAGCAGCTGCTTTGGCTGCCACTTCCCTTTCTCCTGCGAGAAGCCAAGCCGCTTCGTGGTAACACGCTATGGGGTATTCGAAGCTACAAAAAAGTTGCACTGTGAGACTCCATCCTCTCGCGGATTCGCGCGGGCGTTTGGCCCCCCCTCTTGCGAGAACTTTCATGTACGGCCGCCCGCAAGAAACAAACGGCCGACATATGTAAGTAACGATAACATGAACAACAGTGGCAACCTGAATGTAACCACAAAAATGAAAACAACACAAATGGCAAGCAAGGACGAAAATAACCACTGGAAGATGATGACAAGGATGACTACTCACGCCGCTGCTGCTACTGCCCCTGCTGCTGCTGCTACTGCTACTGCTACTGCTACTACTGCTACTACTGCTGCTACTACTACTACTACTAAGACTGAAGTTCCTGTGTCATCCTGAAACCCAGTTGGATGAACAAACTACCTCAAGGCCCAAATCTGACGAAGTTTGCCCAATACTCCAATGCAAAGACCTTGTCTTGATCAGTGTTGGGTGTATTACATGTAACAAGCTCGTACCCCAAACCGGAAGCGCTACATATCCCCACAATCCGCTAGGCACTGCCTACAACAATCAAGCACCTGACAGAGAGAATCACTTCAAGTACCTAATAGAAGCCCAGGCCTGCGTTTCAGAGAAAAGGTCCAGAGCCTTGGATGAGGATCTCTTAACATTAGGGGTATCCTTTTTGTGGTTTATCTTTGTGTGGGATATTGCGTTGCCGCCCCCCCCCCCCTCCCCCCCCACATGGGTAGTCTTTGGTGCGTTTATCATAGAGATTCGAAATGTTTTGGTGTAGATACCCGGCCAGAAGTACTCAGGAGCCCTCTGCTGCGTATACTAGCTGCGGTTGCATAGTTTAAAGACTTCTCACCGAATTTGGCCTAGGACGAAGGTCATGGGGGCTTTCGGAATCAAGTTTGAGTTTGTGCTTACCTGCTCTGGCATGCAGCAAGTGGAGGAGACTTGCGAGATTTGCGCGTTCAATAAGAAAATTCGTCGAAGTCCATCGTTTTCACCCACCCGACCTGGGCCATAATCTAAACTCCTAGTANNATGTACTCCCCTATATAACCCCCTTTAAGGAGTTTAGACTGTAGCTGTAGCTCACCTGGCGTCTTCACGTCTTGCGGTTTTGGAGTTTACGCTCAGCAGCCCGAGCCTCAAACCTGCGCACATTGCATCCGCCAGGCACCACAAAACCAATCCCCTGACTTGAAGTTAAACACAACATAGTATAGTATCATAATCATATTATAAATAACAGCTTTTAATATATCTTATTAAAGTATAAGAGTACAATATAATTTACGAACTGATCCCCAGAGCCCCCGACTTGAGACCGCAAACCTCAGCCCAGCAGTTCAGAGCGCCCGACGATACTATTAAAAAAAGGCAATGTGCGGCTCGTCTGTTGGAAGCTACGCAGAGCATCATCCTCACAAGGATTCGAGAGATCAATACCACCCCGCATAACTCTGGGCAAAACAGGTTTGTATTCAACTCTTGTCTGCATGTTTGCCTCATCCGCTCCAAAACCGAAAGATCTCCAGGACCTCTACTTTTGTCCATTCACACCTCATCTGGCAGTATTTTCGCGAAAAGCCACGTGGGGTTGTTCCAAAAATCTGCTCCAACAGTTGCAACCCTAAACCCTAACCCAGACCCCTGATTAATACACCCCCCTCCCTTTCATAGGGATTATAATTGGGATCCCAGCATTCAGGCCCCACAAAAAGAGGGGATTTAGCCCCAAAATCCTAAACCCTAGACCCTAAATGGTAGTTTCCATTTTCTTTTCCATTCTCCCTATATAACCCCTATCCCTATATAGCCCCCATAAGCATTATCCACCCAACACCCAAAACCCAAAACAAAAAAACAACCAAGGCTAGTAGCCTCGGCGTCCGTGGATAACAGGATGGCGATAGCATCCTCACCATGCGGTTTAGGGTTTTGGGTTTAGGGCTGCGAATTGGTGGCCGCTTCGAAGCTACAGAATTACCCCACATTTTCTTTTCCATTCTCCCTATGTAACCCCTATATAACCCACATCCCTGTAGTTTCCATTTTCTTTTCCATTATCCACATTAATAACCGCAAGATATCCCGGTTCCACGGTGACCTTCCCCAGTTCGAAAATGAGAGTGCAAACTTTCCTTGAAACTGCTCTCAGCCCTTAATCGCAAATCCTGACGTCTAGAAACACATAGCTCTAAACCCTCAACCCAGCTAGGCTATCCCAAATGCTCACCGCGACAACACACATTTGATAGAACTGCTTAGCACGTCTGCTTACCCAGCTGAAGACTGAACGTATATTGGGATAATGGAAAACAAAATAGAAACTACTATTTAGGGTTCAGGGTTGAGGGTTTAGGGATGAATCCCAACCAACAGGTGGCCAGAATGGATTCTAGGGACGAAGATGGAGGAAAGTGGCAGTCCGGTTTAAGGTACCCCTGTAGATGTACATACTCCTAGCATCCCCCTAAATAATCCCCATAATAATCCCATCTATATTCCTCCATATAACCCTATAGTTCCTTAACAGCAACCCAATAAAGGCCGTGAACATGGCAAAGTCCTCCGGATCTGTCTCCGCACACTTCAGTGCTTTCCTGCGGCTCATGGTGTCTTTTCATGGTCTCTCTGGGCTTAGGGTTTAGGGCTGGTATGGTGCGGAATCACTCAACACACAAAGAAGGGGAAGGAACGGGGCCATGATATGCAAAGGAAATGTAACACAGGAACTCCGGGAATAACCTCTTGGAGACGGATTGCTACAAGGATGCTACAGATGCACAAGATTTGCTCTGTACATCGATAGATGGGAAATCCTGTGGGCTTGAACCTGAAACAACCTGGTATTCTTGCCTGAATTTACAGACAACCACCCTCTTATGAGCCTAGACCTTGACCCCCCTATTAAACCACTACTCCTAAACCTCCAATGCGGAGGGCACGCCCTAGCAAATATGCCCTAAACCCAAGCCCAAACCCCCGTAAAGTCTGAACCCGAATCCCCAAGCCTGAGCTCCCGCTGCCACAGGGCTGCACAGCCCGGGCGGCGCTGGGCACAGCGGTCACGGACGGCGCCCAAAAGTTGATATTCCTTTGGGCGGCGCAAGGATTGTCTTGGCACTGGAAGAAAGCCGGAAACCACGCTTTGGGTCTAGGGAAGGATTGGTTTGGGGTGTGAGCGATTCCTTGACCGTAAACCTGTTGTTTCTGTATTTTGCTTTTGGGGTATATAGGCTTTCCTCACCCTGCACCCCTGTCTCCATGCCCATTTAGTACCTGTGCCTTGTGGGGAATGCAAAAATAGGATTTGGGCATTATTCTGAAGCTTCCGAAGTTTCTTTTTATATGGACTACTCAGTTATCTGTTCCCCACTCCCCGCCAACAGTCGATGAACCAAAAACAGCAAGTAGCAACTCTCACTCTCTTCTCCATTCCTTAGTACCCTCAAACCCCAGAACCTGGTGAATGCAGCAGTTTCCGTTTATTTGTTTACTCGAAGTACTAGTTTCCGTGTGCTTTTCCATTCCCTACGAACCCAAAATCCTACATTCTAGCCTCCAGTTGGTCGTCCATGTAACTTACTTGTTGCCATTTTCTTGCGCACCTCCATACGAAACACGAGCAGACATTTCTGCAACTATGGCACTGTGGGCGCGGCCTTGTGGGACTTTGACAGTCCTCTTGGAACATGGGCACATTTCGAGGTTTAAAGGTTTAGGGTTTCTTGAAAGATTTGTGCTGAACTATGGCCGGTTGGAAGTCTTGCAGAAACATGTTTCTTGGGGATTGTGGCAATCAAGAAACGATCAATGTCAAACGGCCGGCAAGAACGGCACACTGCACTATTGCTCTATTGTACATCCAATGATAATTGCAATGCGCACATGCGTCAATCCATAATCCCTATAAAGCCCCCAGTTAAGTTCGGTCTGCATGTCATGTTTTTTCCGTGAGCGCTTTATGTCCCTATATAGCAGTGACAGGTCCTTCCACAAATCGGTTGCCAAGCAGCAAAGAATCACCTCGGTTGGGATTTCACCGAAACTTGGCGCAATCAATGCTCATGCTCCTCGAGGCTTTGTTGTGGGTTTAAGCGGTTTAAGATGTACGCTTTTGGGCTCGGGGTTCCGGGACCCGTCTAAACCCTGAACCGCGTATGGTCTACCCTGAATGGTGGGAACCAGGTTTGAATGCACGTAACCATGACAATTTCGGCAAACATAGAACACTTGCAAGCAGGACTGTGCTATTTGCATTTACGCGAACCAGGACATGAAAGACTTTGTAGGATGCCTACCACACAAATACGATTTGAGATGCTTTGGAGTTTTGAATTTTCTGGCTCCATTTTGACTCGATTCTCTTCAAGATCAGGTTGGGGTTCCAGGTCATCCCCGTAGAGCATCAGACATGCGTAGGCCTACACTCTGGTCCGAACCTCGCCAACAAGCCCTCCCAACCTTTTGCCAACCTAGGTGTGTGCGCCTTCTCACATCTGAACTTGCAACTTGGACGCTGTCATCTGAAAAGAGCCTTGCTGCTCTGTGCTTTTAAGCCTTCTTATAGGCGGTTTGTAGGGAATGGAATGGGATATGGGGACGATTTTATGGAAGTACACGCTGATTCCTATAAGGACTACACGCCACCAGTAAACTCCACAAGTTTTTTCGGGCGCAAGGTCTAGGGTTCTGGCTTTCAGGATTTGAATCGTAGAGCTAGGACCACACAAGAATCACATTATAGTTATCCGGTCCTAATTTTGCGGTTTGGGGTTAGCAAATTCTTCATATGGCAGTGAGTCGAAACCCCGTGCCCAATGGCCCGCACGGACAAGCCTCTGTTACATACCCTTGAAACGCGGGGCTTGTTACATACCCTTTGTCGCGCGTTGTCGCGCGGCTATAAAGGACTTAGAATTGGAGG